ATAATAATAATAATAATAATAATAATAATAATAATAATAATAATAATAATAATAAATTAAACAGCTAGAATTCATACGCACTTTCAAACCTGTAAAAGTACTTTACATATATTATCTCTTTTGATCCTCACAACAACACTGCAAGGTGGGTGTCCTTTTTAATTTCTAAATTTGTGTGTTTAAAATGCACATAATTATTAGTGCAGTAGTGCATGCATATAATTTACAAGTAAACACCTTCTCCCTTCTAGTAGTTTTAAAGAGTCAGTCACTTTCAGCAATAACTATATTTTTGGTGGAATGAGAGGGTTAGAATAGAATAGAGTTAGTGTGTTGTTGGTATATAATTGTTGGCATGTAATTGTCATGTTGCCTATTTTCATATTAAAGTGTTAGTGTGTTGTTGACAGTAACGTGTTGGTGGCATGTAATTGATATGTTATTGTCATGTGTTTGGTATGTTAATTGCATATAGCTGGACTGTTGGTGTATTGCCTACTTTCATGGCAAAGTATTGGTGTATTGTTGGCATGTGACTAATGTATAATTAACTGTTGTCTGTTTTTATGGTAAAGTGCTAGCATGTTGGTGGTGTGTGATTGTCATGTTATGGGATGTAATTAGTATGTTGGTTGCTTTTATGATAAAATGTTAGTGTGGTGTTGGTATGTAATTGGTGTATTGCTGGCTTTCATGGTAAAGTATTTACATGTGATTAGCATGCAAATCTACTTTCACAGATGGCACGACATTGGCATGTAATTAATATGTTGCATGTCATGTTAAAGCACTAGCATGTTGTTAGTGTGTTGTTGGTGTGTTTTGGCATTTAATTAGCATGATGTTACTTTCACAGTAAAGTGTTAGTGTGTTGTTAGCATGTAATTGGCATTTTGTTGGCTTTCACATTAAAGTGTTAGCATGTTGTTGTAATGCTGTTGGCTTTCATGTTAAAGTGTTAGCATGCCAATAGTGTGTTGATGTGAATGGTGTTTTGTGGCGTTTAATTAGTGTGTTGCTTACTTTCACAGTAAAGTGTTAGTTTATTGTTGGTGTGTTGCCAGCTTTCATAGCAGAGTGTTGGTGTGTTGTTGGCATGTAATTGCCATGTTGCCAGCTTCCCCGGTTAAGTGTTGGCATATTGTTAGTGTGTTGTTGGAGTGTAATTGGCATGCCATTGATCCTCACAACAATCCTGGGAGGTAGGTGCTATTATTATCCCCATTTTACAGTTGAGAAAACTGAGGCAAATAAAGATTTAAGTGACTTGCTCAAGGTTACACAGTAAGTATCAGGGGACAGATATGAACTCAGGTTTCCCTGACTCCATGACCTGGCTCATACCACTTAGCTACTTCTCCCCTAAGTCCAAACTACTTCCCATTACCACTTGCTCCCCAAGAGCCGTCAGTAGGAGATCTCATTGCAGTCAGTCCTTTTAAAGATATATAACTGGTATTAGCTGGCCTATATGTTTTCCTCCGAACCACCCAACTCAGGCCAACTAATTCATGAAAATCCCACAACCTTGAGTGAATAGTGATAGAACTCAGTTAACCTTAAACACAACTCCTATTTGCTAAGACAAATATTGTTCTAAAAAGTAGAATTGGCCAAATGGAAAAGGAGGTACAAAAGCTCACTGAAGAAAATAATTCCTTAAAAATTAGAATCGAGCAAATG